TCTTTGAGCCCGGCCTGGCCAGGCAGGACGCTGGTGCCTTCGCCCGCGTCCAGCATGGAGCTGGGACCCCCATCTGCGGGGTCGATGGGGGAGCGGGACACCCTGGCCCATTGTGCACCCGGCGATGGGCTCGGCCGCCGAGGTCGCTGCTGTCCCAGGGAGGGGCCATCGAACAGAAAAATTAATCCCTGTGTTCATCGATTATAAGTTAAAGAAAAGCCCCTTAAGCAAACGCGCCTGGTTTTGAGGGTGGGCTTGCTTGGACAATGCAGCACTCCGCAGTGAGGGGGGAATCGCTCCAGTTCTCTGTACTGAATTTAACAAGATGTTTTTCTTGAAACTAAAGATTGACTATGAAAAAAATCATTAGGAAAGATAAGGGGAAAAAGAAACCTTTAAGACGTTTGTTTGTTTGAGGCAGCATCAGAGGTGAGAGGCGAGCGAGATTTTGTTAGGATTTAAGTAACACATGTGTGAGATCTCCTGCTCCCCCTCCCCAAACAGCTGGTATTTAGCAGCTTGAGATTGAAACCCAGCTAAAGGGTACTGCGGTGTGTGTGTGATAGGGTGAGTTAATCACGAAACAAATGATACACAGTTGAAAAGATGTTAAATATATTAATGAATTGCAGTGCTGAGTGTCATCTGTAATCTTTTTTCAGCTGTAAAAGATTTTCTTAGCTGTAAATCACGTTCTGTTGTTTAAATGGGAAGTTTTGCAAACTGCAGCTTTCTGCGTCCTCCGTCTTGCTTTTCAGCAGGACCAAATCCCAGCACCGTCTGCTCTGGGGCTTTGGGTGAGGGTTTGTGCCTTCGCTTTTGGCCTCACTCTAGGAAATAAAGTCTTTGTTTCTGCTCCGTTATAAAGCACCAATGTTACAAGTCACGGAAGCTGGCTGCACCGACACTCGGTCTTATTTCCAAGGTAGATCTCTCACAGGGAGCTGTAGGCGCTGTATGGTTTTAAACTGCATCTGCCAGGGTGGGTGCGATCCTTCTCGCAGCCATGGGGAACTGCCGAGATGAAGCCAGCATCTGGTCCCCTCCAGGAATGTGGCCGTGCTGCCCGCCCGCTCTCGGAACACCGAAGGCGCTTCCCCGTAGCCTGCTCGGGCGGTTGTCTGCAGGAGTGATACAGGTGGGAGCGCTGATGGAGGCTTGCTGAACGCTGGACGTCTGTCCCGATACTTTATTTGCCGTGTATTTTATATGCTCATTCATGCGCTTTAGTGTTTTTCGTACGTGTCTTTGCCGTGTGCTTCAGCAGGATTCGAAGGTGTTTCCTCTTGGAAATTCATAGGAATTTTCTTTTAAAAATTATCAAGGCTACTCATTTCGCTGAGGGGAAGGGCAAGTCTTTTAAAAAAATAAGTGTATTGCTTCTGCTGTTTGCCTTATAAAATATAGACAAGTAGAGATTTCTTCTCTTTCTCACACTGTCTTCTGTGACTCTTGTGTAACATCATAATATTCTTGGGAGAATTTACATTGTATTAAAATGTGGTATGAAACCTACCATGACCTTTGAAAACAATACATCCTTTAATGTGGCTTGGGGGAGGGGTTAGCGAGGGAGTAGCCATAAAAATCTTCAGGGTTCAAGATGAGGTTGAGATTTTTGTGAGTGCTTTTGTCGTAGCAGCAACTGTTTGATTTAGTGGCCCCTGCTACAATGGGTTGTGAGAACAAAGCCAGAATATCCCATGTATGAGTTCGTTAAATGTAAGACCCATCAGGAAAATTGAGGGGGGGGAAGCTTCCTCAGCCCTCTCTCTCTGAAATAAAACATGTGCAAGATATTTGAAAAAACTTCTTATCAATTGCTTTATTTCTTAACCTACGTTGTCTTGTATGGCTTTTGAAACCAGAGGAATCGGTGAGATGAGAGGTAACAGAGCCAGGGCGGAGGGAGGGCTACTCGCTTTAAAATTATTATACTTACTATGTGTATTGATATTGTAGTGAAATTTCAAGGTTAAGGAAGTCCAGAGCACCCCCAGCACAAAACTGCTTTAAATTTGCCTGTGCTTTACTATTTCTGTAAAGTTCACTGCGATTCTGCCCCGGCTGTCCCACCATTCGCCTACGCAAGGCGCTTGCATTAAGTAGGGTGAAAAATAGCAAAGGTCAGGAGCCGGCAAACCCGTGGGCCTGGTCATGGTTCCTACAGGATTTTTTTTTAAACCTCTGAAACGCCAAGAGTTTCTGTAGGTAATTATTTTTTATCTACCAGTTTTGTTTGAGCGGCAGTTTACAGGGTGTACGGGCACCTCTCTAGTCCCTGGAGGTCTGTGTCTTTGTTCATGGTGTGTGCCGCTGTTCTACGGTGAATTTTAATCTGGAAACGCACCCAATTAACAGTTTCTGCAGGGAGGCATGTGCAGTTATTGTGGCGATGGGGCCATTCACACCGCCTCGCCGTCACCCTGCTAGCGGGGAGATGGGGATGGCAAGGGAAGGATTCTGATTCCTCCTCGCTTTAATCATCCAGGCTTCCCATGTTCGCCAGGCGACGGCCCTATTCTTCCCACAACAAAAAAGCTGCGCCTGGAAATGAGCCCTCATTTACATCCTCGGCCATCAACATGCTCCGGTGAGGAGGGAGCCCCGTGATCCGCCACGGGACGCTGCGGGCTGGGGCGCCGCGCCGTGATGCTGCAGCAATCCACAGCGTCCTCGTCTGCCTTTTGCCATGTGTGTAAGCCGGTAGTTTCATGGCTCCCTAATGCCGTGGCACGGCATGCCCGGCGGCGAGCGTGGCCGTTGCTGCTGACCCCGGGATCCCCCAGCGCCCGCGATTTATGGCACTGCTGGTGGGAGCAGGGGGAGGGCCAGGAGTTAAGCTGAGGCTGAGCTAAGCCCTGCAGATAGAGGACTCTTCTGTCCTAGGCTAATCCCCCGGCCCCCTCCCAGCGTTTATCAGATAGCTGAAGGTAGAGATTATGCAATTGGTGACTACAAAGTCATGTTTAGCTGCCTCCCTTCAGCGAGATGCTCAGATAGCCCCAGTCCTGATCTGTACCAGCATTCCTCTGCAGTCTTCATTAAGCACATACCTGAGGTTGTCTGTCCTGTAAAACTGGGAATGTTTTAGTGTGGTGACAACACCGTGAATGTTTCTTTAACTAAAGTTTGCGTTTCCTTCGTTCATCCCTTTATTTTAAGGTTTTATAACAATTGCAGTGAAATTTGCAGAAAAGTGCAAATTTGCATGCTGTGCATTAGCAAACCTTTTGAAGATTAATACAGATTGGTTATGGTTTTTACTGGGTTTAAACTGTGGAGAAAGCTGCTTGTGAAGAGCAGCTGGTTTAGATTTTTACTTGGCTTGTGTAACTGAAAACTGGTTTCATTTCTGATCCTAATACATTTGGCTCATTTATTTCTATTGCGTTCACATGTTCTCCAGTAGTAAGAAGTTACGCACTGGTTTGTCAGGTTGCTTAGGCTTTAACGAGACTGGAGAGGACTTCACTGTGACTTCTACCTCCTGCTGCAACAAAAATCCTGTAGATAAAAACACCTTTGTCTCAGAAAACTCCCTGGTCAAATCTAAGTGAGGAAAACCAGGCTCGGTGGTGTTGTGCTGAAGTGAGTTTGAACCAGCTCATCTTCACAAGCCGGTGCCGTCCTAAGGTTGGGGTTTTTCAAGGTCTGTATCGTTTCACTGAGTGATACAAACCGGGAACAACGGGATGTGGGTAGCACACCAGGCACGATGCAGATTTTTGTAGTCGTGCGTCTGCCCAGTCTGAGCTTTCTCGTTAGCTCCCGGCGCGGGACGGTGGGTGCAGGCAGCTGCCGTGCCCCACTCCATCTCCTGCGTGAGGCAGCGGTTCAGCCCCTGCCTGCTCCCGGCACTGTGCCCAGCTTCTCCCTCCCTTCCTGCTCTGGCTGTGCTATCTTTTTTAGGGTAATCGTGTCAGGTGGTTTCTCTGGTTTGAATTTGTACTCTTCTTTTCCTTCTTCTTGCTCTTCAAGGTTTTTTTATTCTTTCTGTCCCTTATACTGTCTCCTTGTTTTTCTGAGCTGGTCTGTCTGTCTCCCTTCTCTTACTGCCCTCTCCCCACCTCCTGTTATTCATCTTCTCAACCACTTTCCTTTACCTGTCAAGACCCGTCATCTCCAACACCGTATGACCCTCTGCCGCTCACGCCAGAGCATTGCTGTAATTCCCTCGTCACCTGGACAAGTCGCCGTTGTGGCCGCTCGGGTGCTGTCTAGAAGGAGCCTTTGTCCCTGCTGAGGTGTTAAGGGCGCCATGTGTACACCCTCTCTTCTGCTCCTGTCACCTGGACGTACCTAAAGGAGCACTGGCCCTTGAGTGCCTTCGCTCTGCAGCTCGCGGCCGTCTCGGAGGAAGAGAAGAAGCAGCTCTGGCTGCTCTCCTCCCCGGTGGTCCAAAACGCCGTGTGGTCTGGGCTGTCCCACCTTCCCCTTCCCAAGGGACAACCTTGACTGCTTTGTGGTGTCTCCCTCAAGCTCTGCCACGTACTCCTGATTTCCCCATTAATTTGAATTGTAGCTATCAAATGAGCTCCTGCAGCAGAGAAGTTTCTCCTCTGCGTTTTGAACAGTTGGGCCGCAGAGGAGTACCTTCCTGCACAGCACAGCCTGCATCTGCAAGGCGGGGCCTGGAAAGCGTATGCACTTCTTGTGTCTCCTAAACAGCTTGCCTTTAACGAAATGTGATTAAATATATGTATCACGCAAACTCCAGAGGGAAAGGGCTGAGTCACTGAAGTTAAACTCTGGGTACCCAAGGCTCGCGTGGAAAACCACGTGCAGCGGCCGTCCCCAGGGAGCTGCAGAGAACCGTTGCCACCTCCCGGGTCCTGCTTTAGCTGTGGGTATTTCTGCCTGTTGGAGATTGCACGGTCGTGTGTTCAAGCCAAGAAATACCAGAAATAATCCGGTTTAATCAGCATCCATAGGAAATGTGCAACTGAGTGAAAGACAGAAGTGTGGTTCCTCAAATCCTGTTGCTCCAAACCAAAGCGATGTCGTTTCAGTTCCTCGATGCCTCCGCCTTGCTCAGCCAGGGTGATCTAGTCATCTGGGTAATGATTATTTGACATTTGGGAAAGCAACCCCATGAAGTATACTGCAGATTTGTGTGCACCCCTGAACGCACTCGAATAGTGCCTATCTTCATAGCGCAGCTCTGTTCGCAACTATCGGGATATTAAGGGGTTAAAACACTGGGGCGGGGGAAGGCAGGTTGGCCTGGCACGCGAGGGGTTAAGCTGTTTGGCTGTGCTAAACATCTGCTACAGGAAAAGCTTCTGCTGCAACTTGCTGGCTTTATTTTAAGTGTTGCTGACTGTTAATGTGAAGCAAGGTTTAGGCCTCCCTATGCAGATGCAAGGTAATGAGGATCCATCTGGGTTAACTACCTGGGTCTCTTCAGCCATCATTTATTTTTTCCTTTCCGTTTGACATCGGTGTCTGTGGAGATCACTGCCTGCTCACAGGTTCTCGCTGAGCTGTGCGTCGTCCCTGCTCTGTCTCAGAGGCAATGTTAGATTCTTAAGATACTGAATTTAATGTGACAGCTCCTGTTGCTGGGAGTCCTGCAATTTACATTTTTAGCCATCCAAAGGCCTTCCAGAGGTTTGGAAAAGGAACAGTAAAATCACGTCATTGTGACTTAACCGGACCATCGTTTCTGTAATAATGAATAACGTAATTCACTTGGGTTCTGGGTGGTGACTTCTGCCGTGAGGCTTTTGCTGGCGTTTGCTGGAGCTGCAGGAGGAAGCGAGGAGGTGGCCGGGTCCCTCTGCATGCCCCTGGGAATACGCAAGGTGTGACAGTATTTCACGTTCATTGGTGTCCGCCTGGCACGATTTCTGTGTTTGCACACCCTGGTCTGTGCAGTTGATGCAGGGCACTTTAGACCCTTTTTCCCCTCAGGGTTTCTGTTCCTCTCTGCTAAGAACAGCTCGAAGTTTGACGGAGGCTGCCGGGGAGAGCCGCGCTCTCACCCCCACTCTAAGGGTCCTGTCCCGGCGCTGGGAAAGTGAAAGATGGAGCCTCCCCTTGCAGCCATGCCCTGCTGCTCTCCAGCGCTGTGCAATGGATCCGCACGAGCCTGACAGCCGGCTGCCTCTTCGTCAAACTGACCTTACAGAAACTCAGGGGTTTTCCTACTGCGTGCCCGCAGCGGGTGCTGGCACCACTGGGCACCGAGAGGAGCATTCAGAGAGAAACCTGAAAATCAGGAATAAAATAAACTTCTGGGGCAGCGCAGCGTGCTTGTGCCACGCTGATGAGAAAACATCATCCATTTCTTTGCTCTCATTTCTGTTCTTCATTAAGGGAATAAATAAGGTGGTGCCAGGGAAGCCACTCGGGGACTTGTTTGGCCCCCGGGTGATGGGTTTGATCTCTTGCCCGTGCAGGGAGGAGACCGTGTTCCGTGGCAGAGCCAGACACTGCAGCGATGTGGCCTCTTACGGCTGTAACATGTGCTCCTCGCGATCTAAACGGTGCTTCGTTTCCCAAACTGCTTTCATTTCTGATAAATTGTGTGACTAAGGGCATTTCTGAGAGGCTGTTTTTTAAACAAACTTGGGTTTTACTTTTCTTCATTCTTCTTGCCGCTGTTGAGAATTTCTGGACTTAATACCCTATGAATATGTTGAATTGAAATGACTTTATTGGCAGTTGAGGAACTGGATTTGTGGCAGGCCTGTGAAGCTCCAGAGCTGGAGGCAAACCCCTCTGCGCACCTTGCTGTGCTGAACGAGTAAAGGTGGTGAGGAGCCTCGTGCTGGCGGCACCTCCGGCCGGGCTCTGCCGGGCTGCTGAGACCAGCGTTTCTGCATGAACGCCCGTGCTGCGCTCTGCTTTGCAGACATCTGTCCGGGCAGGCCACGGGGTGCCGAGACTTTCCCAGTCCCCTCGGGAGAGTTTCTGATCGCTCAGTGAAGCCGTTTTGTTGACCACAAAGCCTTTCGTCTTCTCTTCCAGATGAGCGGGTGGATCAGCGAACCTGCCTGATCTGCGGGGACAGAGCTACGGGGCTGCACTATGGGATCATCTCCTGCGAGGGCTGCAAGGGGTTCTTCAAAAGGAGCATCTGCAACAAGCGGGTTTACAGATGCAGTCGAGACAAGAACTGCGTCATGTCACGCAAACAGCGCAACAGATGCCAGTACTGCCGGCTGCTCAAATGCCTCCAGATGGGGATGAACCGAAAAGGTAAAGAAAACTGGGCTTTTTACTGGTGGAGGTACAGATTGGGGCCAGTGTTAGCAATGCATGCTACCCTTCCTCAGCTGCCATTTTGTATTGCAATTCTGCCTCTAAAATTCTTGACAAGAAAAAGTGAAACTTCAGCAAAATTATGCATGGATAAAAAAATTCTTCCTGAACTACTTCGTTACTGTATTGGAGGAAAAATCTGTATGAATTGAAAGCACGTATAAATATTTGGAGAACTGATCGTTGTGATCCCTTTTTTCAGGGAAGGTAACAGTTTGTTACTGTCCTTCCTGACGGATCTGTCCTTGCATTTACCCTGAGCGAAGTGGTCACTATTTCTATGCTTCAATATACTAACGTGGCAAAAATGAATGCATTTAAATAGGCTTTTAAAATCCCGAGAGATCTGAGTCAGACTTCACCTGTTTGTTGTCGTGGGAGCTTAGACCTGCAGTTGCTGCCCAGTGATAAGGGGTGAGGGTCTTCACTTACCGCCCGTCTCCGGTTAATGACGTGCGGCTCCCGGCAGCAGCATGTGGAGCTGGGAAATGCCGAAGGTGGTTTTGCCAGGTACGAGATCACTGAGGAGGCAAGTGAGATCTGGGTTAGGGACAGCCACCCCTTAGTCCCCACGTGTGCGGAGGTGATGAAATGCTACGGTATCATCTTCAGGATGGAAAATCTTAAGTGGCTCAGAAATTAATAATAAAAAATGGACTGGGATTTATTTCGGTGTCGTGTCTCTACTCTTCCCTCCAATCTTTTGACTTTTTAATCTCTGGGAATGTTGTTACCCATTACAAGCAGAGATTTCTTGGTTTAATGGCAACAGACAGGAGTCTGAGCAGAAGCGGGTGCTGCTGCAGCACAGGGGCTGCTTGGGCTCCCCGTTTAATGGCGACAGGAGTCTGAGCAGAAGCGGGTGTTGCTGCAGCACAGGGGCTGCTTGGGCTCCCTCCTGGACGTGCAGGTGGGGCGGCGGGAGGGACCCCTTCCAGGCCGCCAAACAGAAGTGTCATCTCATGTTTCTTAAATGTAGCTGTTGATGCCTTTAGTGTCATCGTTCATATGAAAGCCGCCTGTCAAAAGCACTAAAACTTCCATAAATTTACTGCAAATCCACCAGGATCTTCCTTAGAAAACGTATCTCGGGGCTGAGATGGAAAGCTTATCCCCTGACTGCTTTGATTACAAAATTGTCTGTGGGAGTTTCATTTGACGGGGAAGGCAGGCTAGTTCCCGGTAATCTTTCGACTGAAGAGTGTAGTTCTGGGCGACCAGAAGCGCTGGCTGGGTTGGTTTATTTTAAGTGCCTGTAGCGTGAACCGCCCGGCGCTTGTCGCCAGGATCTTGTAACGGGGGGTGAGTTATTTTCGCTTCCCAAGCTCTCTCGTCCCGCTCCGCGCGATCGTCCGAGCCCGGCGCGGCAGCCAGACCCTTGGAGGCGTCCGGCCCGGCGCCGGGCTGCCCGCCTGCTGCTCCCGGCGCCCCATCTCTCCCCGGCCTGCGGGCCCTG